TTCATCGGAAACCATGCTGTGTTAGAAGACTGTCATTCACAAGGTTTTGAAACTGTAATAGTAGAAGTATCCGGAATGAATCCCCAAAGCATTACTGTTTCAGCATTACAGACACATGCTCAAAAGTAATTTATTCTGTTTAAAGGCAGTATTCTGCAGAACACCTCATTTACTTCCACCTTCTGACCTCTGTTCTCTCAAGCACTGAGCCATCTGTATTGAAGATCCTGTGGTTTTGAGTTATAATCATGCTAAACCAGGTAGCAGTGTATTTAATGCAGTTTATTGGAGTTTGGAATTAAAAGCAGCTTTAAAAAATGCATTTTCCACTTTGAGTAAATCATACCAATCGGCATGCTATCCTTTTGATACTGTTTATGACCTCACTGCTGCTCCACAGTAGTAGATGCCAGCTGAAAATCAAATATTTTTGTTCTTTACAAATTTAACTGAGAGTGGCTCTTACATAACTAATCTCAACACACAGAAAAGATTTGTTTTCTATAAATGGATTGTCTAGAACCCCAAACTAAATATACCATGTTACAATCTTCAATTGATAGTAAGGGGAAATAATTTTCAAAAGCTGGCACAGCAGTTTGGCAATGGTGAAAAGAACAATACTTCTCGTTTCGTATATGTTCGACTGTTGTTTGTGGTGAGAGGTAAAAGTCATGACTCCCTGTCAGATAATGCCTCGATGTCTGCATTGATCGTGTTAGTGATTATACCTTATAGTGTAGTGACAGAAGGAAAGTCAGATCATTCTGAGAGATAAGAACTTTTAACAACTGTCTTACAGATATCATATTATCAGAAAGACAGATTGTGAAGATGAGAAACGAAGCAAGGACATGCACGTATCTTATTTTTTCCTAAAGTGAACCACAGTCACACGCTACCACTGATTCATTATATATGTATATCAATCACTACCATTATACCAAAAGGAATAATGGGTAGAATATTCTTGAAGCCTGACTCACTCTTTCTAAATGTCAACAAGTAAATCAAATAGAAAAATATTTTACATGAATACAGAGTAAAATAAATTTTTTAAAAATGTTTAGAATTTCAGGTCTTGATTCTGAAAACACTAATATATGTGGCTATCTTTACATATGTAAGCATCTTCATTTCAGTAGAAGTATATACACCTAAGTGATTGCAGAACCAGCTCTCAGATGCTAGAATTGGAAATACCTCTGGCTCCATGTGATCCATCGCTTCCACAGGTAGGATGCTGGCTTGTGGATGAATAAACAGATTATTTTTTTTATAAAACAACCCAATGATTTGAGAACCTAAGTCTCATCCTAAGTCCCATCTAAAAATCTGAATGATAAGTCTAAAAGATAACAGGAGGTAGATAACATCTTACTAGAAAGCACCCGAAAACTTTTGACGAGGTACATAATACTTGGAAACATAAAATGACAAGATTAAGATTCTACTGAACAAGCTAATGTAATGAAATTTAAAAGCATAAAAGTAAATGGAAGGGAAAAGGTGGTAAGAATAGGTCACACAAAAGCTGAAAATCTAAAATTAAATATTTAATTAGAACTCTGCTTTTGTTTTCAAGGTAGGTGGCATTGCACAGGCTATATTACAATCTTTTATAGCTTTTTGTTTTGTTTGTTTGTTTTGCCAAAGAGAATACTGTTTATTTTTAACAGGCCACTTTAATATTAATACATGTGTAATAGGATCAGAACTGAAAATCAGCTAAAGATGGTAAATTTTACATTATTGGGAAAATTACAATTTTTTGTATTGTAAAAACATTTATTTTTAACAATTTACCTACATTAATCAAAAAAGTACAGCATATTTAATAATTTTACAAATTCTTCATAAAAAATATATCTCTGTACAAAAAGTTCTTTTGCACCTACTTCATGTCACAGCAGCATGTAGTGAAATGGCAGAATGAAATACTGGGAATGAAAATTAGATTGACTTGATCATAATGCCAGCGTTCTTCCCCAAACCCCCCACCCTCACCCACCCACCTTTTTTTTTCCTTTTTAATAACACTTTTCTTTGTTTACAAAATATTTTACACAAGAAAAAAAATTATTGCAGCTAGCCTGGAGAAAGGCAAGATGTGTGATAAAAGCAGCAGTTTTTAACAGCTTTGAAGCACATAACCTGTTTTTTAAAAAAAATATATAGCATGTATTATTAGCCCGTCATAATGATCTGGTCAACACTGGGGAAAAAGTCTTCTGCATATATCTCAGAAAGCACATTTCCTGGCTGCCATTAACCCAGCCACTGCACAACATTTTAAGAGTCTTATTCTGATGAAGCACCATATGTAAGTGCGTGCATACACAGCCCTCTGTAAAAGAACTTCAGGAGAAAGAGATCCAACCTGAACAGAAGACTCAAACACAGCGGAGAAGTAGAAGCCTTTGAAGGATGTGGACAGAACAGATAAAACTACGAATGCTTTGTTTTACTTGGGTTCTGGTCTGAAGTTCCTGTTCCCAAACAAACATCTTTCTTAGGATAATTTCTCAGCGTGTCCCAATTCTGAGTGTCCCTAATCAATGAATAGGGGATATACACTCCTTACATAACCTCCCCAAAATAGACCACTGAATAAAGGATTCACAGGATCTGGGCTTTCTAACACAAAAGATCAAATAATTTAACTATTCCTTTTTCTAGGGCCATTCCTTGGCAGTCATAGCGAGACAGGTCTCTGAATACACTGTCAGGGCAGGAGTAGAAAACATGAATAGCTACTCCTTTTTTTTTTTTTTTTTTCCCTGCCATTGCCACTATAGAAAGTCTTCCAAAGCAGTAATGTCAAGCAACTGTCAAAAACTTTAATGACATAACAGCTTCCCTCCCTGTCCCACTGTTCCTACAGAAGCTCTTCATTTTCAGAGCAACTTCCTCTACCTGGGGGAGGATTAGGAAAACAACTTTGATCTGATGACTTGGTTCTTTCTCAGGAAATGTGAAGGGCTCTGAGATGTGACACAGAAATGAAACTTACTGCACAAAAACCTGAGAAACAAACAAAAAAAGAAAGCCAAAAACTACTAACAAAGTGAACAAGGAACTGACTGGAAAGGATTATTTATTAAATTTTCTTCAGAGTTTCTTGCTCATACGAAGAATATAACAGCTGGAGGCCCTACAATACTGAATTATGTTGCTGGTATTTTTCATCTAACAGATGTAGAGTTGTTAAGCTGACCAAGGATAACCTTTGAAATTTTCTTTGCATTCTGCAACATTAGCTGAAAAACCTGTTACTGGGCTTATATTACCTTTTTCGTTTGTGTATAACAGCCAGACCTACACACATATGGAGTTCAGAAACATTATTCTGGAGGTTTTTTTATAGCAACTGGACAATAGGACAGTCTGAAATTCAGAAAACTGAAACAAAACAACAGCAACAAATAACCCTGAAGTTTTTAAAAAAGGAAAGCAACTTTCCTGGTTTCTGAGTTCAATGTGTCTAAAATGAGAATTTGCTTGTTTCCTGTAATTTCCTAATTTTAAACCTCAATTTATCTGCCCAATGGCATTTTTCATTTGTTTGTTTGTTTGTTTATTTTCATTCAATAAAACCTGTAATTCTAAGGAAACGTTAATGATTTGCTCAATCATTCATATTTACAAATGTCAAACTTTCTCTGTCTGTGTAAGTACAAAAGCAATTAGCAGGGTGTTTAAGAATTCTGAAAAGAAAAAGAAATCAAAGATAACTGACTTATTTCTCTTTGTTCAAAGTAGAAACTGAATGACAGCTTGTTATAGACAAAATTTGCACTGAGTTTACATATGCTACTGTAATGTGGTTTAGTTTCATGTAACATCAGAAAATGATGTCATATTACAGGAAAAAATGGAAAATAATGCAAAAGGGAAGACTGTATTATGAGCACACGCTCACAGGCTTTATGAGCTATCTAAAATAAATTACTATTCACATTTGTACATGGCAAGCAGCAATAGCTGCTAACCCCCCTGCTGTTAAATAGTATGATACTGACAACAGTGATTGATGACTGATTTCAGAAGAAAACAATACTGGCAATGAAAATTTCTGCGAAATGGGCTCCTGTTCTGGCTGAAAGTCTCCAGTGACTTGTAATCATGTTTACGAAGAAATTTAGTCAAAAATTGACAAAAGAAATATTGTTCTCTATCACACATGATTTTAACTGGTGCTAAGCACGGGGCTCATAATTTAATATTCCAAGTAAATTTGTTGTGGAACCTTTTGCTTGGCAAGGAGTGAGTGAATGTCTATATACAATGGACAGTGTGTAGAAACCCTGTATATTTTTACCAGTATCTTACTCAGTCAGCCATAACACTCTAGTGCAAAAAAATTGTGCATTAACATTTTGCAATATAACGGCTGATTGGGAAATTGTCAAACTGCCCTATGTATGAGATACACTGTAAGTTTCTTTAATTTTAGCAAGATTTCAATGGTAAAGCATTTGCAGGTGTATGCAACTTCAAGAAAGGTTGTCTTCTCCTTCAAGAGAGCTTGATTTCTTCAAAATATTCCTGGGGATAATCTGTGGTGCTATCATTTGTCACAGTACTCAAAGGATTTATCCAAGTGCCCAGAAGAATGCATTAGAAAGGCATCCAGCCACACACAAATATGAAAGTCTGAGGCATTAAATATGAGAAACTGGCATGACTTGGCAGTCTTCCTTAAAGTGTGCCTTGATTCGAAGCAGATGCAGCCAGGCATTTCGATCCATCTTTAAGATGAAAAAATATTCTTTGTCTGATCCCCAGAAGACTGACACGTTTTTACCAGAAAATTTAGCTGCATGTAGGCTGACAGATGATGTTAAAGATTACAGCAGCAAAGCCAAGTGAAGAAGGGAAACTGGTATATGGCACCAAAGGAATTACTGCTTGTCCATCAGAGGTATGGCTATGAATCAGTCATATTGGGCACTGAAGGCTATACCACTGTACAAACTGTGTTCAGAGTTGTATCAAACCTCACAGCCTTTGCCTCTGTGGGTTTTAAGTTTGTGTCATACATGGGATTTTCAAATGAAGCCTGTCCATTACTGTTTTCATGTCCAGCATACCCATTGTACTGTACTTTTGGTCTTGTTCTGGGAAAAAAAGACAGGAAATTACCATTAGTATCCCTTAAACAGAAACAGTCTACAATTATTTCAAGTTTTATCTTTAATGTTTCCATCCTGACTACACAAGTTTCATGACTGTCTAAAAGTGATAAAAGGAGACCTATAAAGGATGCTGTAGGGACTTAAAAAGTAAGAGAAACCTGTCTGGAAGTTGTTTTTCATAGCATGAAGAGAAGAAAACAAATTCCTAATGGGCAAGCTGATGCTACAAAGCAGAGAGACAATGAGGGCAAAATATAGGTATGCACTTTTCATTATAAAAATGTCAAAAGAATACAATTTCATAGCTTGCTGTTCATGCCAAAATTGGCAAGCAAAAGTAAAGCAATATACAACTAAAGTACAAACAAAAGTAAAGCTGGAACTGATAACATAATATTTTATGTCAGTGGTAACAATCATGGTAATTTCTAACTACTTTTTAAGTTTTAGATTGCCAGTCTAATCATAAAAGAATCTTTACAGAGAGTGGAAACACTTATTCCAGCTCTACTAAATTAACACCTTACCAATTCCAGATATCTATCATTGTATTTCTAAAACATTGATACCAATGTAAAAAATACAGTAGCATCTTGGTGAATTTAATTTGATCACCTTCAAGTATAGCTTTCGTGAACATTTGCAATTCTACCACACTAATTTTTACAGTATATTTAGGAATGCCACTGGACCATCTGTGCAAATATTCTGATAAAAATCAATACAGATTTAGATGACTTGAATGCAGCAGAAGATGAGTAGGTGGACATAGAAAATGGGAGTGAGAGTCTCCTAATTCATTCTTTTATTAGCATCTTGGGGTTTAGATGAGATAAATACACAAAGATTTTAGTGGCTTAGAGGTTTTTGAGCAGAGGTAGAGGGAATGGTATAGTAATTCCCTGCCATCAGCTGCTTATTACCATTCCAGAGCAGGAAGTTAGCGTTGCACCACTGAAGTGCTGTAACAGGCCTCGTGGGTACTAAATCTAAGTCAATGCAAAGTCAGCCAGCATAGATTCAATCAGGCAACTCTTGCACTGACATAGCAAGTGTCCAGAACATCTTGAACTGCTAGTGGTAGTAACCTTCAGAAGAGGGTCAGTAATTTCAGTTATTCCAGATAGATCTGCCTTAGCATGCCTACTTACCTCCATAAATACATCCAGCAATAAATACTACTAAGTACCTTGACAGAGATTTTATATGACAAAACGTACGTAATCAGATTGATCAAATCCTTACTAATAATCACATGAATTTCAATATTCACATGTGAAAGATACAAAGACTTATCTTTTAGTAACCACTCTTATAATTTGGATAGTATTTTACCACCATGAAGAACATATCAAAACTTCAAGGATGTTCACGTTTTTATGTTTTCTGTTCGAACATATTAAGCCAATAATTAAATTAAAATGAAATTGTGCAGACATTCTGCACAATTGATATATTAGGATATATGATATCCTAATAAATGATATTTTCCTATTTTAAATCTCACAGCATCTAAGCATAACTAGATGAATATATAAAGGAGGTTTGGTGTATAATTTTATAAATGAATTGAAATAGGGCAAGACAGTCAATGAAGGAGTGCAAAATGTAGATTCTTGGTGCTTAATAAAACAATCTAGAAAAGATTCTTATGATAAAACTTCAGAAAAGGATTCTTGAAAATCAAACTCTTTTTTAGAGAATTATTCTGTTTTGCATAGCAGAGAGCAAAAACTATCACTGGAAAAATGTCAGTAATCAAAACTTACAACCTACAAATAATTCTGTTACTCATAAATATGTCTTTTTCCACATATTTCCATTTTAGAAGTACCAAAATGTGCTTTGAAACCTTAACTAGAAGTTTTACTAAATGTAAGTAATTAAGTGTATTTTAATTTTGTTCAGAAAGACTCAGAAGTCATCTTCATCCTGATGCAATCCCTGTCTGTGAGGTAAAAGGTACAGAAACTGTTTAAAAAAAGGTTTAAAAATCCTGGTTCTAATGGGATGATATTAATCTGACATAGGCACAGCAGAAATATCCATAAAATCATCCCCTAAGAAGACCTTCAAATTCTCTGATAGAGACAGCCTTTAGGGACATAACTGTTATCACATAATTGTGAAAATTTCATGTTGTTATTCTGATTGTTAAGGTAATTTCAAGAAAGTCCCTTCAAAAGTCGCAGATTCTGTCTTCTTTTCTTTGAATTTGAAGAGAATAAAGGTGACCTAAAGTTACTTTACATCACTAATTCACTTGTTAATTTTCTCATGAGAATATGACACTAACCCCTCTAAAAACTGTGGTTTAATAGAAGAAATTGTTTGAAAATACAAAAAAGAAACAGAATTCTTTGAAAGATTAAGTTATGAACAACATCTTTTTCAAGTGTCTAATACATTTAAATTAGATTAAGGTAGGGAGAACTGCAATACTGCACCAGCAGTACCATAAACTTTGGAATTACAGCTGCTTGTCTGAAGACTAAGTTTTCTCTCTCTTATATACATACGTATTTCTATTAAAAAGAAAACGGAATCTCCCCTGCTCATGTAGGACATAACAGACTTCATAGACTAAACCACAAAATGTACCCGTGTCACTATGCAGTTCTATTGATTTTTTTTTTTTTTTAAAGCTTGCTGCCTCTTTCTAAAAGCAAAGTTACAGCAATGTTCCCTTTACATTCTGTCTCTTTGCCTGATCTGAATGCCTGTGCTTTTATGCTGCACTTTAGGTTCCCCCCATTGCAGAACAGGAGCTATCTGAGAATGCAGATCTGTAGCCATCAGAAAGGCATCTTACAATAACTTGTTCTGAGAAAGAGTTCACAGCTGTTCCTGGGCAGGTTTTTGTTTGCTTGTTTGTTTAACAAAAGGCTGTATTACATTTCAGGACATGTATCATTATAACTGGAGTTAACAAGTTCAAGCCCCACTGCAATTTCTTTTTGCAAATCCTCTTAAGGCTGAGGTAGGTAGATTGTCCAGTTCATCACAGGGCAATGGTTGACTTCAGTTTGTCTCCGTGATTTCTTACAGTCACAAAATCCTCTTGATATCATGGTTATAGAACAAGTTTTAAAAGCATGTTATTAAAAAACAGTATTTCTCTTAAACACCATTTTAGAAATTGCAAATAACACAAGGAGATGAGAGAGTATTGTAGCTTAATACAAAAAAATTGTTCCAGAAAACTCTGGCCAAACAGTGTTCAGGATGAACAGATGTTCAAAAGAAACATAAATTTCGGATTTTAAACCAAATATCAGACAAGGTGGTAGGATTTATTCTATTACCTATTGACATATAGAAGTTTCATATGAGCTGAAGTGGTGACAATTCTAGTAGTATCCACTAGCTTATTCAGCATGTACTTTAAGTAGTCTCATTATGGGCTGTTCCTTCATGGGTTTTATGGATTTTTCAGCTTGTATAATTACTACTCGCAAGCACTTTGAAAGAAGCACCATACACTCAATTTAATAAAGCATTAAAATGAAAAAATAAAAACATATGATCTGAGATTTCGATCTGATTCAGTGTAATGAACCAAGAAGGTTGATAGGTCTTTGCTCCTTAATACAGTGACACATTTTTCTACATTTTTACTATTAAGAACTGCCCTGCACTGAACCACTTCATGGCAATACTTAGAAATATTTATCTTTCTAGAGCAAAGATATTCCGAAACCTTTAGCATTGTGTTATCTAGTTACACTTACCTATCAAAATTAAAACACAAATTTAGTTACCTGATAAATAACATTTACAATACCTGTGTTTGTAGAGGTAAAATGCAAACCCTGATAGTATTAGAGCAAAGAATGGTACCAGGATGGCAGCTGCAACAGAACTGCTGTTTGTACCGTAATAGTGATTTGAAAGGTCTGTGTCCGCACTTAAAGGACCTGAAATGAAAAAAAAGGGCAGAAATAAAATTCCCAGGTTTTCTATCTCACACTTTTCTTTTGATTCAAGAATGAAAGAAAATAGTGTCTTGATTAAATAATTCTATTTAAAAACATGAAATAAACAGCATGCATATCATAGCATAAATCTTCTTAATACCACTTAATAACATATCAATGACTATCAAAATTATTTAAAAACAGTATTCAGCAAGTAAAATAATTATGAACTACACCTCTCATGAGTCACTAATTTAGAAAAGTTAAGCCATATATCTTCTGCAAAAAAATATACTAATACTGCAAGGAGTATTCTCTATCTGCACCCTTAATATTAAGCTTAGAAATAACAGTCAGTAAGACCACATCAAACATAACAAAGGAAAACTGAGGTAACTGCAATAAACCCCAATGGTTCTGCATGGTTTGATAGCATTTGCAACTCTGTGCACTTGTGTGCGTGTCCTGGCTGCTTTACAACCCCCTTTCAGGGGTGAGACATGAGCATGTTTTAGAGCCTCTGACAGCTGTGATTGCACTGGGATAAACCTGAGATGCAGAGAATGCAAAGGCAGTTGCCTGCGGCAAGGCCTCACTGGGTTCCTGTTGTGGACAAGCAGATAACCTGGACTGTAAGGCATTCTGCAGAACCCATTTTTGCATCAATTTGAAGACAGACATTGTCAAACTGCTTAAATAGGTGGCCAACTTGACAATGCAAATTGTGAAGGATGAAAAATAATTTTAAAAATATATATTTTTTTAATAGAAAAAAAGAATATATTTTGAGAGCCAAGTCCATGTTGTCAGTTTGAATTCACAGCTCTTCAGAGAGCAATATACAGATTCTATGCAAGGAAGGAGAGACCAGGACAGAGAGAAAGTACAGCGAGGATAGGGCTGGGACAGATAGCTGGGCTTGCTATTCTGTGTTATTTTTGCTGATACTAGTAGAGAAGAATAGGAGACACTGGTATTTACCACTCAGAAATGCTTCAATCCACAAGTACACAAACACTGTTAACTCCCTTGTTCATGGCAACAGCATCAATCAGTCTTTTTAGGACTATAGAACAGACGACTTATATAGCAGACACCCAGGCATTGTGCTGATTTCATCAGTCTACTAAAATATTTAAGCTGCGTAACTGAGAAAGCAGCAAACCAATCTATGATTTCTTGCAGTTCAAGCTCAATGTGAATGCAGAAGGAGGCAAGTTTTTGTTCTGTTAGGTATTTTTAAAACTTGGATGTTTCAATTGCTCATACTATATATTGTGCAATTACAAAATGTATTAAATACAAGGAAATAATTAAGTTCCCTTTAAAATGAAGACAGCCCCCCTAGAGATTTCAGAATTGCCAGGTCTCATCACTAAACATGACAAAATACTGCACCTCAGCGCTTTTCACTACCTTAGTCTGCTACAATTTAGACTTACAGAATCATAGAATCATAGAATAGTTACGGTTAGAAAAGACCTTAAGATCATCTAGTTCCAACCACCTCACACTAAACTATGTCACCCAAGCCTCTGTCCAACTTGCCCTTGAACACTGCCAGGGTTGGAGCATTCACAACTTCCTTGGGCAACCCATTCCAGTGCCTCACCACCCTCACAGGAAGGAATTTCTTCCTTATAGCTAATCTAAACTTCTCCTGTTTAATTTTGAAGCCATTACCCCTTGTCCTACCACTATAGTCCCTAATGAAGAGTCCCTCCCCAGCATCCTTGTAGGCCCCCTTCAGATACTGAAAGGCGGCTATGAGGTCTCCACGCAGTCTTCTCTTCTCCAGGCTGAACAGCCACAACTTTCTCAACCCGTCTTCATACGGGAGGTGCTCCAGTCATCTTATGATCCTCGTGGCCCTCCTCTGGACTTGCTCCAACAGCTCCATGTCCTTCTTATGTTGAGGACACCAGAACTGTACACAACACTCTAAATGAGGTCTCATGAGAGCAGAATCACCTCCTTTGACCTGCTGGTCAATCTCCTTTTGGTTCGGTTGGCTTCTGTGTATTTCTCTTAGAACTGGTGACGGCGAATCATTTCAAATTAATAAACCTACTGCTGTGGTAGATGGGATCATGTTGGGAGCTTTCTCACACTACTGTGGAGTATCTTAATGAACACTGAACTGTTTTAGAGTAGAACCAGTGTATTATAAAAATCTTTGGACTTTAGTCATCTAATATTTGTCCTAACAGGTATGGAAGACCTGTTGGCAAGATTTATATATTTGTATTGTATTGCACATGTACTGGCCCTTATCCAACAAATCTAAATGAAATACAGATGGAATTAAGTAGTTACCACAGTCAAGAAAAAATTAAGAAATGTTAATTTAAATGCTCCTTTGAATTTTTTATTGGTTAGAAGAAATTATAGAAGTTTAAAAAACCGCATGCAGTTATCACTGTCTTCATCCTTTACAATCACAATCTCCAGCTGTTTTTCCAACTATCTGGAGTAATTAATAAAAATGTGTTAATAATTATATCAATTGTTATCAGCTTGTAACAGCAAAACCATGGAAATAATATTTTAAATCTTATCTTAAATTCTTACCAAGCACCAAAACTGAAATATGTATGATCGATGAGCTCCTAATTTATATGTCAAAGCTATTATCATGGCACAAATGATAGATAAATTTTAATGAATAAGTAGTAGAAAGATTTTAAAATATATAATCAGAATTCAGCTAAAAGGAAAGAGTAGTTTGAAATAAACAGTAAAAAGTTCTTGGTATGAAGTTTTAGTACGAAATTAAAAAAAAATCCACAATTTTTTTTTCCTTCTAACTGAACAGTTAAACTAGGCACAAACTTATATTTAGATAATTTCTTTTTTAAGTTATCTCTGTTTTATAACTGGCATTTAAGACTTATAACTCACAACTCCTGTTCAAGGTGAATATTCTATATCTCTACAGTTTTTAAAATACCACATGTAGGGTAAGCATACTTGAGATTTTTAACTGAAGTCTACAACCTTTAAATGGCATTGGGGAAGTACTGGACAGGTTTGGACTGTGCACTTGGCATGCTTTTTATTGTGGAAGAGAAAATTTGCTGCAATTCTGGATAATCTGAATTTTATTTATGTATGACACTCAGTATAACTTCATTTATAGTATATAGTTATTTAGTTATTCAGTTGTAGTATATAGTTTGTGTTAAAGAAAAAAAAAAAGATAAAAGTTTAGTTTACTTTCCATTAAAGAAGCCATACTTTGTCACTGGGAAACATGTTATTTTCATAGAGGGATATTCAGTTATATACAGTTATATAATTTTTTTTCAAACATTTCACAGCATAACAGGGGTTTGTTTAGCCTCCTAAAAACAGCAGCAGTCAAGTGATTTCCAAATTCTGAAAATACACAGTGAAGTCATTATTGTATAAGCTGTGTAGTTCTACCCTTTAGGTGGTTAATGAGTTTTCTCCTTTATACATACTAGAAAATAATATTTTTTGTAACAAAATATTCATAAGGAAATAAGCCTTTCCTTATCACTATCTGGAGTTTTCAAATGCATTTCTCCTGTAACTTCTAATTTAGGGTTTCAACTGTCTGGCATCAGTACAGCATGGCTCAGTTTTACTAAAAGAACTGCAGTTGAAGTGGGAGAAAGTGTGACAGCAAAAGCAACACAAGATAAGAAAATGAGAATTACAGGCAGAAGAGTAATTTTTCAGATGAGGGTGGTTAGCAGCCCAAGGATTTAAGAAAAAAAATAACGACAAAGAAAGCAAGTCAGCAGCTTCCAACGAGCAACAGAGGCTGGAACTTCTTCACTTGACTGGTAACCACTGGATAGCAAAGACTCTTTGGGTACCTCACTGGGTGTGATATATATAGCCTCACAGCGCATTTGTCCCATCTGCATATTTATGCATTAACTAACACACAACTGTTTTGTACTCTGAAGCTGTGAGTATCCTGTTTAGATCTAAGTTTCTTTGTGAATAATGAAAGTTATGCAAAATGATCTGGAGAGGAAGGATGACACCTTTATAGAGAGAAATTTTAAATTCACATGTCTCATGATGTTCAATGCTTGGATGCATTGATCAATTTCAAGAAATGAATACGTATTTCACAACCATTAATCTAATATATCACAGATGCTAATTAATTATTCATATTTCTTGTCAGTATTTGTTATCTCATTGTAGACAAGCTAAAAAAGTACTTTTAAGTCAAAAAAAAAAAAAAAAAACGAAAGAGAAGTGGGTCATTGTAGTTCCCCAGAGGAAATAAATACGGTAAAATAATTGTTTGGCGAAGTAAGTTTCTCACAAAATCACCTTTTCATAGAATTTAAAGGACAGTCCAGACTGGAATTAACAAGGCCAAGATTTCAGAATAAATGTCTTCTAGAACTGTTGTGGTGAGGCATAGCCATTCAGCAATTCCAGAAACTGAACCTAGCCACAGACTTTCAGCCTTTAGAGACCAAGTTATTAAATAATAATAATAGAACAAACAAAAAGCCCCCAGCAATGAATGATTACTTGGCAAATCAAGTTAAATAATACGGTGTCACAATAAGGGCCCCTTAAGCAGGCTCAGATACAGTTCTAATTTGTTTAACAGACTGATAACAAATCTCTTTGCCCTCTGTGTTATTATCTAAAGCTACAAGCAAACAGAATTGCTTCTGAAAGAGGACAAACAGTTCATAGATACAAAAGTTCTTTCTGTTTGCATGTCATTAAATTCCAAGACTGGGCATATGCACTGAGCCTGTTCTAGTGTTGCGTGATAGGGAATTCTTCATCAAATAGATTGGTCTTTCATACTTAACCAAGTATTTCCCAGTATATGCTGTTCCTTGAAGTATGCTTACAGGTGAAGAATTTCATATTACATTATGTATGCACCAGGGCATGCATAGTTTATGCATACTTCTGGCTTAGAGTAAAGGCAGCAAATAATTTAACTTCCTGAAGAAACAAAAATACGTTAAGTCTTCAGCTGGAGGACATATGATATCGTTATCTCGGCAGAATATTCATGAACAGAACAGACTTAAAAAAAAAAAGCCAGTTATCCTCGAATATGAGAGGATGCAGACAAGTATTATGACCCGTGTTGGCTTGAATTTGCTGTTTCCTTTTAGCTGTAAGTTCTTCAACAGAGAACAAGCAACCTACAGAAGATCTGTCTATTTAGCAATCGCATAAAGAAATCTTCTAAACGAGACAGTATCTGCATGTGTAGCAAGCTCTCTGTAAGATGTCAAAGCTGAAGACGAGAGGCCTAGGAATGTTTGTGTAACTTAGACACTTCATCTCCCTTCTAGCTTTTGAAATATACAAACTGAGCTCTCATATTGCAACTCTAACAGTGATATGGACAATGTTTCCCACCACCATAGAATAAATCCACTGGAGAATGTTGTAAATTGAATTGTCATTCTGCTTGTTCTTCATTTACCCCCATGAGTTATTCATTTCACTAATAAAACACATGGATCCAAGCTTTTATTAGGTAGCTGGCTAAGCATGGATTTTTGTTTTGGCCTGGCTTAAGAGAAAAACCCCACAAAACCACACACACCCCCCAAGAAAAACCAACAAACCACAGTCTCACTGTTTTGACATATCAAAGACTCCTTAACAAGACAGATGTTTGAACAAATGTTGATGCTCTACCTTTATAGTACACTTGTTAAAAACAGAAAGAAAAAGCAGCTTAGATATTACGGTGATAAGAATTGCACAAAGGTACAGGTAGACAAATAATCTGTCCCAGACAAGAGTTTACTCTGAAGACTGAAACTGTATTTGGCTTTAGTAATTGTCAGTTCTCAGGCTGAGACTCTGAGGGTGAGTGACTAAACATTGTGACTAAACATATACAGCAATTTGAGAGGTGGCCAAGATGAGCAAATCCATAGCATAACTGCTATTACAGCAGTTAATAGAGCAAAGAAATACAAGGGAGATTTGGCAGAACTTTGAAGGACATTGGGTACAGCACCAATGAAGTCAATGGAAACAAGGCAATTTATAAAATGTAGGTAGAGTCTGCTATAAAGATATCGGTTAGGCTGTCTCCTCCCTCTAGCCCAGTACTTTGCTTTGTATATACTGTGCTTTGACCACTCTGCAGTGGTTCCAGGATCAGGAAATGCAGATGTCTACACTTGGTATTTGTCCAAACTATTTTATTAGAAAATATTTCACGTGTAAATGTTTTATTAGTTTTTATGAAAAAATAATCTTACGAGTAAAATAACTAGTTTTTCACCAGCTGCTGGAGCACATGAGTCCATAGCTGTGATATATATCTCAGCCACTCATTTCATATTTTTGACAGTGAAATATAATTCTGTCTAAATACATATACATTCTGAAAACATCCATCAGCAAGAAGTACTCTCCAAATGATATTAATAAAATCAGTGTTGATTCTCTCCTTTTAATTTCCTATATGGTTCTGACTGCAATTTATACATTTTAGCAGAAAGCATCTTAGAATTGCATGACACCCCTGTCACTTTCGAAAAGACATTCACAGAAAAGCAAGCAGTTGCAATGGCATTCTCTGGTTGCTATACCTGAAAACATGAGATAATAACATGTTAAGCAGAGTCAAATTGGGATTTGAAGAGATTATTTCAAATATGCATATTCCACTATATTTTTTTGTAATAGTAGTGGCATGAAATAAACATACTTTATTAAGCTAGATAGATGAGTCATTTGCTGAATTCACTCTTGAAAGACCCAAAAAGTTTATACATATTAAACCTCTATGAACATATTTACCTTGTCTTTGGAGCATAAATTTTCCAAAATCTTTTCCATGTATATCGCCTTGATAGGTAAAACCCCCTCTTTCAAACCCTGAGGATACCTAAAATAAGATAAAACAGAAAAAATATTTCTGAAAAAAAAAGTAAGAACGTTTATGCTTAGCAATTTGTTTTTCTGACATAGAGTAGATATGTGGAGCCCAGACTTTCACTTTTATCCTTTAAAATATTAGTGAACTCTCCACTTATGTAATATTTATCATTTTAAGTTTGCAACAGTATTAAAGTTTCAAAATAACACATGGGATGACTTTAAAATATCTGATGTATGTTGCTGGGTTTTAAAATTCTTCAACTGGGAAACACATAACTGGATTAGTCTATGGATACAAAAGTCTACTGAATTGTCAGATTTCAAATTGCTTTCCATAGAAAGCATAATGAGACACAAAGGAGAACCACAAAGAGTGAAAAGAACTTTTTCTTCAAGATTAAATGTAATTTTATTACAGTGAACTACTTACCAAACCAAAAATGAACAATGTTTCTAAACATAAAATTCCCACTTTCATTTAAGAAAACAAGGCAAACCTATGACAAATTATGTTGATCACTCCACCTTCCCCTTAGTAAACTAAAAATTCTAACAGGAGTGTGGAAGATAGAAGTTTGTACACATATTTTTGAAAAGAAAAATAATGTGGTCTCTACACTGACATCTAGAGTGCTGTATTCCATGTTAGTAATATAACAATTTTGATATAGTTTTAGGAAGGAAATCACAAATTACTTAAAACTTTAAACTCAGCAAGCTTTACCCATAGCAGTACAGTTACTTACATAACCATCTAGTGCCCAGTTGTCATTTTCAAACTTGCTTACAAAAATTTCACTAGGTCCTTTAATCTGAAAAACTTTCAAGAGCAAATGGGCTTCTTCTTTCTTGTAAACACCTAGTAACATAAAGGAGGTAACACATGTAATTTAAACATTTTTTTCCAACCAGTTTATTCAAATATCCTTTCAAAGCAAAGTATATTGATTTAGAACTAAAATAGTTTGTAGAAAACATTTTGTAATAACAGAATTTTATAACCTGGACAACAGTATTTCAAGTGCTGTAATAGTAGGATCTTATTTTACTGATCTTTTGCCCACACTGTATTTGATAATAGGATGCAAAGATGGTTTTGTACTGTTTAATTTTACACAGAAATGGGCAATAATATTTTTCTTTTTCTAAAGAATTTCAATAATTCTGAATACAGATAGAATTCATTGCCTGGAACTTCCTTGAACAGGAAAAAATTGGATTTTACATCACAACAATATATTGCTATAGTAAATATCAATAGTGCAGTGAACAAAACTTTGCCATTTGTTATTTGGCAGCCAACTACTGAAATCCTCTCTGAACTCTTGACCTTAAAAGGTACTGATAGCTGAAAATGTTCTTTCCAAATATAACTGTGATCAGAGGCTAAATTAGAAGTTCACAGTCAGATTTGCAGAAAGGAATGCACAATGTTGATTAAAAGTTACGCATAAGTTACTAAGTTATTTTTTAAGTTACTTAATTTTACTAAGTTAGTAACTGTGTCTATTTTATGTTATGACATTATCAAGACCATATTGTTTTCAAGCAGATATTAATCACTATTGAATAATGGAGCTTTCCAATGGTACAGTTCTTCAAATGCCTATAAACACGACATCTGCTTCTTTAATACTACGTGTGAATTCAACACGTCAATACTATCCAACAGTCTGAGATGAAAAAACCAATTTCACTATTTATTGAAGTGCAAGGGGAAAAAATATATAGGTGACATATAAATTGACTGAATTTTGTGCAGATCATTACATTCGGTTCTTTCCTTTTTCAAAATATTTTTAGTGAAAACACAAAGTTTTTATTTCATGTTTGGCAGAAAATACAACAAAACTGAACAGAAAAATACACCCCAAACTAGCTTTTTTAACATCGAATTCTGAACCTACCTGATAGTTTGAGCTGTATGTTGGATGCCTCAGTGAATGTGGCATTCACTTTGCTGCTTGTGGTATTGAACCAATCAACAGTCAGAGTAGCAGGCTGTCTTTTTCCTAAATATTCGTAAAACCCTTTCCACAGTGAATTTATAAAAAACACGTCTGAAGGAACTAAATAAAAGTGGGCAAAAAAGAAACAAAGAAAGGAGTAAACTACAACAAAGCAACAATCTTCCTAGCCACACTTGGTTCTTTCTGTTACAGCATCAATCCATCATTTTAAGGAGGTATTACAGTAAAAATTTTACAGCAAAAACAATATATCTAATGACCTTTTCACACAATTGCCTACTGTATACTACATCTGTCCATTACCGTACATGTTCTTAAATAACATCACACTTCATAGCTTGTGTTCTTCAGTGAACATTCTCAAGTCTATGAAAAATAACTGGCTCTTCACCGAAAGCCCTGTAGTTTTAAGGTATGATGAAAAAAAGGAGAATATTTTTCTGAAGTCATGAGTCTGGAAGGAGACACTATCTTATGCCATACCTTTTGTTTCATGAATCTATTAAAGTAGCAGTATGTGTGATTTTCAACTGAGTATCAACTGAATATTCAATTGAATTCATTGGATTCCAGACACAGTTTAGCACAAGTTTCTTATTAGTCATTTTCAGAGTCCACATCTTTTTGCTATACAATATGAGCACACCTGTGAACATTGAAGATGCCAGAACAGGGAACTTTTCTGATTTAAAATAAAGGTTTGTTTCTCTGAAACTGCAGTTTGAATAATCTGAAGTAAAATCCTATAAAATGAAGTATGAATTACAGGAAAAGATATAGGTATTTGAGTCATTTATTTGATGTTATTTCTATTTTTTTCTCTATAGACAAAACCCCAATATTTACAGGTCATTAAATGTTGTATTTTATATATTTGTCTAAATCGGCAAGAGAGTCATTCAAGAGTATTTGCAATATTAACATTAATTAAAAAGAAAACACAAAAGGGAAAACATCATCAAAATGTTGTTTGTGCCATCATCAGATTCCAAGTGAGTGGAGACCCGCTATACTGCTTTGAGTACAACAGCTTTGAAGAATCCTAAGTGCTTTTTTCCAAAGGAAAACTCAGTGCAGGACTGGGAATTTACACAAGGTAACCTCAATTTAATATTAAAAATCTGAAGCCTTAAGTTTCAATTGGTATCTCACAGTCCTTAGAATTCAAATTTTTTCTGCAAATGTAAGAATTCTGTAAAGGGTCTTTCAGACTCTTTTTCGTATGTATTTCTTATTGTTTTGCTACAATAGTGACATACAGTAATTTTGAAACCTGGCATTTTAAAAATATATTATTTTTATTTGTCTTTGCTTGTTTGTTTGACAACAAACAAACAAACCAACAAACAAACCGTGCGTTTGATGCTATTCTTATGAAGGTGAACATCTAGTATTACTGGTATGAACCTGACAGGTACTATTTAAGAATTCTAAAGGAGCAAACACCATATTACTTTTGTCACATTCAACATCTTCACTATCTAGTTTCTCTATCCACTGTAACCATCAATAATAGCACCATTTGCAAATTATATATATAATTTTCAAAATAGTACCACTGACTCAATATTTACAGAATTTGCACTTGCTGCAGATGGATAGAATCAGTAGGGGAAGCAAACATATTTCTGCTTGTAAAAAGTTAAAATGCAAGTGCTGCAGTCTCATGGATGCCGCTGAGGAATTGGAGCCGAACTCATTTCTGCTGAGCCCTTGCAATGTCCCTGCCTTTCCCACCCACTGTGGGCAAATGTAGAATGAGAAAAAGGAACTGGGTATTATCGTACCAATACTGCACCAACCGTAGATTCTCCTCAGAACACTGCAAATGGGGAAATCAACAGCTGCTCACTAGAACAGCTTCCTAACTATTTTTACAAAGACCACATATACAAAGCAGTGAGAGCCATGGGAGCCAAACACAATATTGTAGTTCTTAAACTTCACATTGGTATTGTAAGAATTCTTTAGTTGCAACTTATACTCAATTTGAATTTACAGTAAAAATGATAGTTACTATTACTTATGAAAACATTAACTTTGGCAAAAACCAGTGCAACTTCCTAAATAATAAACAGAATTTGTATTCAGATATCCACAGGAATACAGATCTTTTCTGTTACAAAACTCTACTTTAGCAATATTAGCTTCACTCCACCTAAATACAGATAGCAGCATTCTGGAATTCTACCAGAAGCCAAGAAAAGACATAGTGTTCTATACTAAAGAGAATTCACATTTTAAAAAGACATTAATAATAGTGCAGACTTGGATTTTAAAAACAGCTTAAAACTTTGCCTTGTTAATGACTGTCGTTTGTTACACAATTTCAGTTCTCTGCTTACTGTTATTAACATTCTCAATCATAACATTCATTTTTTCTTAAAAATGCCTTTCAAATAGTACTTACTTATCAAAAGTAGCTATAAGGGACATGATGTGATGTGAATTGATACTGATGCTCTGCACAGGGTATAAATTTGGAGACTTGGTCTGTGTGTTAATTTGGCATTGAAACTTCAAAACCTGTGTGATAGCAGATTTATGCGTACCTTAGGTGTTCAGTGAGGTGAATCTTCCAGTAAATGAAGACTGTATATTAATTATAATGAATGCATATTATATCCTGCTTTATTGTGAGTCTGTAGAAGTAATGCATTTGAGAAGAGCTCTCACTAATAAACTCACCAGGAAGGTTAATTATTAGCAGAAATACCTTTTTATCCCATCTACTTTAGAGAGTCCTTCTGTGAACTGCCTTGAGTGTGAACTAATAATCTTATTTTCCCTGCAGCTTGCTAAAATTCAGAATATGGAGTTGCAAACTCACTTATTTGGTGAAAGCTCTGCTTATTGTTAAATAAGACAGTTAAAAAAAGAATAGACCTTTCATTTTCTGAAAATGATTGAACCTAAAAAGGTCTACATCAAGGATTTCACTGATGTATTGTTCTATTTTGACACTGCCAAGAGGAAAGTTAACTGCACGCATCTTAGGAAGCCCCATCTTGGAGTACCTTGAGAGTTTCCATGAAATTAAGGCCATCACGATTTTGAAACCTGTCTGGTTTTTTTGTGGTTGTTGTTGTTTGGTGGTTTTTGAGGTTTTCTTCTGTTTTGGTTGTTTGGTTGGTTGTTCGGTTTGTGGTTTTGTTTTTTTTTTTGGTTGGTTGTGGGGGTTGGTTTTTTTTTGTTTGGTTGGGTTTTTTTGTGGTTTCTTAGCAAGGTAAATGGCAGAACTTTGACTAAACCAAATTCCCACAATTACAATCTAAGCTCATTATAAGGCTCTCCATTACAGCAACCTCTGATATAAAACTACATCAAATCTGGGTTTTGTGTATATATGCTTTATCTTCTTTGTTTGACAGCTTTTTTTGTGCAATTCACAAAATTGCTACTGTAGAAATTAGAAAAATGCTGTTTGGGAAAGAATTTCATATAAAAGGTTTTACATGGTCTCTGCTATTATGAAAGACCTCAATATTTATATTCCTTTGAAATGAGTATTTAAGTTAAATATTGGAAATAGTTTTATTATCCATAACAATCTAGGGTGTAAACCAATTGAATTTATTTAGTTCTAAAACTTTTCTTGTATACAAACCTGGAGTTTTAGTTATTGTTTCATTAACTTCTCTCACTCCTTTACCTACAAGTAAAAAGACAAATTATCACTTTTATGAACATATTCGTTGATTGGTTTTTTTTCTTTTTTAAAATAGAATGTTAAAACAATGCCTGATGGATGCAATCATCTCTTACCTAATACAGCCATATTTAAAACAGAAATACCTAGTCTTGAATACATTACATGTTCAAACCTATAGACTTCCACAAAACTAGCAGAAAATAATTTAGGTAAACAACATTTTTACTGTGGAAAGTTGTCTGGCTAGCCAAGTATTTCATGCATTTAGGCCTAAATTTTTTATATCAGTCCCAGTGCTATAAAAGAGAGCCTTATAGAGGGGACAAATACCATAACTAATTTTGAATAATAACATGTTAAATATAGTAAGTATCGTGTTAATAAAAATGGATGAATTTATGACACAAACCAGCAAGCACCAGGTAGCTGGATTAAGCTGACAGGACCAGATATCATGGGAAAGGATTACCAGTGGTGTCTCTTGCTACATTTCTGGTACACTCAGCGGTTATGTCCACTGACCAAAGAGCAAGTTCTGGCCTCATATCATTAGCTGCTGTAAAAAGGCTAATGCCCCCTATGAATAATTGGTCTTGCATGTTTTGGGTTTTTTTCCTTCAGGAGCAGAAATTCACTGACTAGACTAATCAAGTGCTAAGCACAAAAGATGTGGGGCACTCAAGGAGGATTATACCTAAAGACTGTAAGCCAATTAAAAAAAAAAAATTTTTTTTCTTATAGAAATAGCTTCTTTTTTTTAAAAAATGGAAATTTAAAAAACATATAAGATTGCTTTTCTTAATTTATTAATGATACAGTACCTATGAAAAATCACCCTTTAAGGAACTACAAGTTTTATGTGCAGATCATTTAACTTGACAATGTTGAAACAAAGAAGTCTACCCATATATTAATGAAAAATAAAATATTCTTCAAACATCAAATCTATTGAGCATTCTTTTAGAATATAGAATTCTTAATATAGATAGATAATTCTTAATAAATATAGAATATTAGAATCAAATATCATGTTGCAAGCATCTTTCCTACGGCATCTGACTATTTTTGTTTTATTAATATTTTAGGTTTGGGGTTTTTTTCTGAATCAGGAACTTACAGCCATGTTTGTTTGCATGTGAAGAGCAAATTTAGCCCTCATAATTATGTACTTAGAGCTACTCTAGCAAAATTATATGAAATTTACATGAATGTAGATAAAAGTGGAATCTGGTGCAAATATGTATTTATTTTTTAGTTTTATTGTTCATTTTTATTTTAGAAGATTTTCTTAGGTAAAAAGCCTACCTGAATGAATCTGAATGACAAGCTATGAAATAACTTCCTTTTTTTCTTAATAGAAATTCATACATTAAACACCGAATACATTGAAATACTCTTTAAAACTGTGACATAAATACAATTAAAAGTAGTACTTTATATTCTTTAGGTTTTGTCTGCACTTGTTAGGGGTAAACTGATGTATGCATGCCTGTGCACTTCCACAAACATATTTCCATGTTTTCCTCCATGAGTTCTAGATGCTATGCTCACTTTGATTTCTTTACTGTTCCATAAAGTAAAAGCTGTTGTGTCATATTCTTCTTCAAACAGTAAGTGGAAAATACTAATCTTACTACAATAAATAAAAATGTCTGGGAAAATTAAATCAAATCAAACTGGGCCCAAAAATCACTTGAGTATTTACTTACTTTTACAAATAGGTGATTTTCCTGTCCATTTCATATCTGGTTTACATGTCCGATGCTCTGATCCACCGGCAAGAAAAAATCCTGGCTGACAGGTATACACCAAAGTATACCCTAAAGTAGGAAGATCTATTGCTTTCACATCTACATGTGCTGGTGTCTCTGGCTGCCTGCAAGCATGAGCTGCAAAGGGTTTTTTAGAGTTAGAAAAAGTAGTGGTAAATAGTTTCCATAGGATTTTAGAGTATGTAATTTGAAAAAAAATGCATTTCATCTTACTCCCTTTCATTATATGAACTTGGTACACCTTTTAGAAATGTGAAGTAGCTATTACACTCAGTGTATAGTTTTATTATTGTGGGAAGATGGAAATGATACTATCATACATTCTTAAACAATACACCAAAATTAAATGCTGATAGAAAACAGAAAATGAAGATAAGCGCATGCCACCGTACACAGTGCAATGATTGTTCTGTGAATTATTATACTGTCACAGCTTCAAGCATCACTTCCACTCAATGTTTTGAAAATTATAGAGTGGTTATTGTGCTAAATAAATTCATTATACATTTTAACTGAACGAAAGGTTCCATAGGAAGGCTTTGTCATAGTACATTGTAACAGAGTTGTTCTGTATGCTTCTTTCTCTGTGCTCCATGGTGTCCATTTATAACAACCCAAAGATAATTTGAAATACAATAAGAACCTAAGGTCATTCTAATTAATTACTTTTAGCTTAGATCAGTGTATTTTAATACAATAGTTATTTCATGTCCTCCAACACATACAGAGCTGTATATGCACTAATCATTTGCACACCCATACATAGCCCCAAACCCCCGAATTTTGTTGAATTCTAATTTATGATTCACAAAATACTAACCAACAAAATAGCCCCATGCATATTTCAGGACACTGCTTCTTCTAAATTAATCCACCACACACAAACATCTCTAGATTAATTTAAAGCAGCTAATGCAGTGGGTTAATGAGGACAGACTTTTTTTTGTAAAACTGAGAATTATTGTGAACTTCATGAAAAAAATCTGAAAAAATCTTACTTTAATATCTCAAATACATCTTTAGTCTTAGAATAGGAAACAAAAACATTTAAAAATACTGTTTTAAATAAAGTTTAGTTTTCTGTAGCATATAATTTATTATGAATTTCCACATGCATCACTTTGTAACTCCTTCAAAATTGCACAGTATTCTTACTAATTAGATAAGAAACCAGACTTACGAATGCATTCAGACTGTATGCCACTCCACGTTAAGTTAGCAAGACAAGAACGGGTGGTAGATCCCTGAATATGATAACCTTTTCTACATCTGAAAAAGACTGTGCTCCCAACCTAAGGATCGAAACAGAATATCAGATGAAAGAGGCATCCATCATGTGTAGTTAGATTTCAAGACAGTGGTAAGCTACTAGATATTTTCTTTTAATAAAAATGTCCCCTTTTTACAGTTTCTGGAGTAATTTTTTTTTTTTTTTTTTTTTTTTTGGTGATGAGAAGTTTGAACAATTGATCTTTTGTAACATTATTTTAAAGCAGCAACTTGAAAAATATTGACAAGGCTGTGCACATGGAAAAGAACAACTCACACATTTCAGCTTATTTGTTTGCCAGCATAACAGAAGCAAACTAAACAGCTCAGATGTCTCTCTTTCATGCACATCACTGCATATACTTCAATAGAATTTGCCCATAAAGTCTCTTTCAAAGGTTTCTCATTGTGTGCCTCGACTAAACATGGGTTTCAAGAAGAAGAAGAAATAACTACAAAGAATTGTTCCATCTAGAAATGAATTTGCTAGAGAAAACTCCAGACTTACAGCACATTTGTCACTATAAACTTTTTAAAGTTTTTCTTGAGATGTTCAACTAGTAGAGAGATGTTATGGAAGGCCTTCCTATGGTCAACTGTGACACAACCTATCTAAGTATAAAATGTAAAGTAACTGAGAAAACTCTCTTTAGACTTCCACTGAGAATAAAAAAGCATGAAAACTGGATACAAAATTACATGCAATGAAGGGTGTTCATAACAGAATAGCGAGAGGTTGTGTGGCAAGTTCTAGTAAAATGGACTTATTGACAGTATTAACAAAAGTAACCAGAATACAACTACGTATTTAAGCATGCATGGCTGACCAGTAAAGCATTGCTTTTGATTTGGATCAAACATCTTAGCAATAAATATGATTGGATGAAATAATAAAAAATTTACAAAATTAATATTATTTGGAATAAAACTTATTAATAAGGTAATACCACATGGACAAATGCAAGTAAGTTGCAAATGAGCAGTGATCAATAGCTTGCACACATATAAATGCATATAGCTCTACATTCCAAATGCCATAGAAGGACTTCCATGAACATCAAAACCTGGCAGCTACCTTCAAAAGTGGCTACCCGTTAAATATATTCTCAGTTACATAAAAACAGATTATCATGATAGATGTTCAGTAAATGCAACACTAGTTCTTCCTGAAGCTTGGGAAATTCACTCGTATTTTTAAAGGTCATATTACTGAGATGGCTTTGTAGACCTATCTCTTTATAACTTTTTAAAAATATCTTAATCTCTCTATCTTGCCAAGGACACGCAGCATGTCTGTAGTAGAGATGAGCACAAAGTTCAGCTGGTCTTGACTCTAAGTCATCTTGCTGCTTCTGAAATTGCCAACTCTGGTATTAGTAATAATAAGCTGCAAATCTTTACTCACTGATCCAAAAGACCAAGAAAAAAATAATAACGTCTAGGTTCAAGGTAGTTACTGAGTTACATTTCTCATTTTACAGGTAAAGGTAAAAATAAAAGCAGTGCACTCTTTGAATAATACTTGAAAGTAAAACATTGAAGGCATTTGTAGCAGTCACAGCCCAGCGAAGCACAAAATGCACACAATGAATGGGGCAAGACTGGATGCTGGTAGATAGGGGAAAAACCCTTCAAAGGCCTGCTGCCTGTCATCACACCTTTCTGTAATGAAGGCTGTTAAAAGCTGATTTATAGAAGCTTGGCTAAGTCATAGAAACCGAATACCCACTAATGACATAAGGCAAACAATCCCCAAAAATCTACTTCAGTAGTAATCGGAGAGATGCCTACATTTTGTTGTACCAGATAGTGTTCCGAGAGTGAAAGCATGTACTTGAGAAAGACTAAATACAGAACAGATGAAGAAATACTACTGACTTTAGAGGTGAATGAGAAAATTAGCCTTTATGTTCAACAGACACTAGAACAGTGAATTTGCCAATATAGTTCTGGTATTAAAGAAAACTTGTGAGGCATATAGAGGAGGGAAAGAATTAATAAAAACCCCAACAAATCCCTATTCAAATTAGGTGCAAAGATCAGAGTTGTTTTTGAAGTGCAGATAGGGACAGGTACAGTGTGAAGATGAGACAACAGACAGAAACGCAACTGTACCTGTTACTAGAAAAAGAACCGCCTTAAAGGATGAGGCCACAAAATGTGGTGAGGGAAGAAGTGCCTTAGCAACTGCAAGCCAGGCAGAGCAGAAGATGAAAGCTGACAGCTACAGCAATGACAGACAGCACAACTGCAGGTGAGGGAGGGTACCAACAACCGGAGAGAGGACTTTTTGAAAACCAGTTCTACTAACATGATCATAATACTGTGCTTCCCTAGGTTCAGAAATGAGCAGGAAACCCAAACAGAAAGTATTTTGTAATCCAATCACAAATATTTCTACCTGAAGAATCTGTCCAGATGAGGTTAATTAATCTATATAACGACTGTGGATTGGTCATTGTTACATCTACTTTTATATCCTGTCACTTTTCTGTCACCTGATAAACTAATAACCTGTGAGGAATTTGGAAATAATAGAAAGGACATTCAATACAGAGAACCTGGACCCAACACACAGAATAATTTTATTTTCTCTGACTGAATAAAATGTAACATGAATTGCTAATTATTAAAGCCATTTGCTGAATTTTGTGTCAAGGACTACAGGGCCTTTGGGTCAGGCAGGTCTTTCATTGTCAGGTATTTACTGACTATTCGTCAATGTATGAAAGAGTTATGATCATAAAATGAAGTAATTCTATCATGTCATATCATATTAGGTATTCAATTTATAAATGGTCCTCCCTGCTTAAGTCTCCTAAAGAACTGAATACATGATATATTGCAAGGTTACAAGTTCTTTCTTTAAGCTGTATAGTCAAAAAAAAAACCAACTTGGAATGAAGCATGAGTTTTTTATTAAAAAGGAGTGGAAATTTCCTAAGGTTTACATCAGACATTTAAGCCTACACATAATATATTTGTAATTATTAAATGTATCTTCATTTTAGAAAGCTAATAAATAAAAGAAAGAATTACCTCATAACCTCTGGAACTGTTTTGTATTCCAAAATGTGGAGTACCTGGGTCTGAACACGTGTTGTGAGCTGGATCTAATGAAAAATATGAAATACAACAGGTATTATTATGGTATGGAAAGAATACTCTAGAATTTTTGGCAAAGATTAAGTCATTTCATCAATACCCAGTGATGACAAGAATTGGATTTTTAATGGAATGTGCTGTTATTTCCAATTAAATTTCCAAGATAGACCACGGTACTTTGTATACTGCCATTATTTTAAAGTGTTTTTGCAAATATCTTTGGCAGTGTAGCCTTTAGAGTTAGGATTACATTTCTTTTTGCTAAGCTTATATTTTTAAACCTTTTTTGAATATGGAGTATATCCCACTATTCACAATGCAGACTGAACATATAGGGAAATATTATTCTTCTCCTCTTTCCCAAAGAAAAGCTTAACAAGTTAGATTTCTAAAGAAACCCAAACCCCCCAAAACCCAAACCCAGACCTAACCTGCTATCTTATAGCAAGTCAAATAGTTGAGGTTTTGATTTTTTTTTTCTGTGTCTTCAAGAAAACAAGTTACAAGTGGATTACTACCTCAATTGTTGCTTGAGAGTGAAAAGACAGTCAGTTCCCCCACTACAAAGGTATGCCAACAGAATATAACTGAATATCTGACAATCAGTTTCATAAGTGTAATTTAATGCAGCCTGAAACTAATTTTGATTCAGCCATGTCCGTATTCTGATGGTGTATTCACTTTGGGGTTGCTTAGTCACATACGCCAGGCAGACAGCACTCTGTCTACCAATGGATTTTTCTATACTATGTGATTCCCTTTTGGGAACCAGACTTTACTTTTGTGCTCACACTGTATTATGAAGAATGCAACTCGGGCCTGCTGTATTTAAGCTGTAACCATTTTTAGTGTTCTGTAGATGAAAAACTAAACTTATCACATACGATAGTGCAATATGTCATTTCACTCTTGGACAACTTCTATTTTCAATGTTAATCATCAATAGACCATAACAATTCAACTGGACTGAACTATGTACCAAAGGCTTCAAAAGATAGGTGGTTGTTGACCTTACATGCAAGAATTAAAGCTATGCATATTCCTGAACTTCAACAGCTTTTACAGCTCTAAAACCTTTTACAAATTATCATCAGCTGGAATGTCATTGCTAATAATAGACACATGAAACTGAACTGGCTTTTCAAGATATGTCTCATCTGAAGAAACAGTGGGGGAAAAAAAAAAGGAAGAATTCATAAAGTATTTTACGGAAATCCTCATTATCCAGAAATAGAAAAGCTTGCTATCGTCTGCCATCATATGGTACTTCAAGGCATAGTTGTAGATATTGTTCAATTATTTTAATTTTCAAATTGCTTAACAATGGTACCTGTAAATATTTTAGATGGTCTAATATTTTCCTTTTAGGATAATATAAAAATATATCATAAAAGAAAAACTTATGTCTTCAATGCAGTATTTTCTATGTACTTCTATACTATGCTATTGTCGTGGTCCAAGCCCAGCCGGCAACCCG